AGACCTGAGCTGAAACCAAGAATCGGAGGTTCAGCCTACTGAGCCACCCAGGCGCCCCCCGGGCAACTTTGTTTTTTATGATTTTGTGCCTTTTCCCAATTTTTTTTTGCCATCCTGATAGAATAAAAACCGGTCTTGTTTTAATAACAAAGGTCTAGAGGAGCAGGGTGGGTCCAGCATGCACCTCCTCCCTACCCTACCCTGGGACCTTGGTCGTCTAGAGCAGGGCCTCTAACTTGGCTTCTTCTGGCTGTAGAACTTCTGGAGGTTCATATTCCGGAAGAATCTGCCACCGACCTCCCTCTGTCAGATGGACTTTGCTGTCCTGGGCCTCGGCGACTCCTCATACGCCAAGTGAGTAGGGGCAGGAGGGCTGCTGGCCCACAGGGACTGTCCTCGGGGTTGAGCACAAAGCGTCCTGTAGAGGGACGGGTGACTGGGCCGCCAGGGCTCCTGCTGGACCTTGGGCCGGGACCAGGCTGCACATCCTGCTTCCGCAGGGGCCACTGGGGAGCAGCTAGGTTTCGAAGGGTGTGCAGGGTACAGACCGGAGGCTGGCAGGGCAGCAAAGTGGGGATGTCTTCTAGGGCAGGGGGTGATGTCTGGACCTGGCCAGCATCCTAGGTGGACATGAGACCCAGGGCAGCAAAGTCCTACTGACTCTTCGCACTCTTAGGAAAGCGCGTAGTCAGGAGATATTTGGGCGTACAAAGAGCACGGAGAGCAGTGCAGTGGGGACAAGCGAGGGGCACAGAAGGCCCCCAGCCCCTGGGAGCCACCCCCAAGGCCACTATTTCCCTGGGTATGGTGGAGTGACCACCTCTTAGATCTTCAGGACACATCTGTGTCCTAAGCTAAGGGTACTGTTGCTTTTCCTTCCTAAAGCAGCACCAAGGGCTTTGCATTTAAGGGTATGCCAGTCGTCAGGTCACTGAATCGTGGAAACCCCCCACCTGTGTGGCGCGGGGGCTGAGGGAGGGTGGGTGCCACCGCCTCCAAAGCCAGGTGCGGCCGGAGGAGGGCTGGGATGGCAGCGGTGTGACACTCCTCTGCGGGGGAGCTTTGTTCTGTGCCTCCCGTAGACACTTGTGCGTGGCGGTGCAAACACAGGCACGAGGGGGATGGGGGGTGGGGAGCCCCTCCTGCTGACAGCGTTCCCTGCGAGGCGCTGTGGGCTCGTTTGGGGCTGCTTCCCCTTCGCCGCCCTGCAGCCCCGGGGCTGGGGCCTGCCCGAGCCTCGCTCTCTCTCCAAAGGTTCAATTTTGTGGCCAAGAAGCTACACCGTCGGCTGCTGCAGCTTGGGGGCCGCGCCCTCCTGCCCGTGTGCCTGGGCGATGACCAGCATGAGCTGGGGTGAGTGGAGTGGGGGGGGCGCTGCCCTGCAGGCCCAGCCAGGAGCAGGGGCCCCTCAGACTAGCCCTCACACGCTCTCTCCCCAGGCCTGATGCTGCCGTCGACCCCTGGCTGCATGATCTATGGGGGAAGGTGCTGGGGCTGTACCCCGTGCCCCTTGACCTTGGCACGATCCCCGCCGGAGTCCCGTGAGTGTGGGCCGACAGGTACAGTGGAGCGGCCAGAGGCCCTGCCAGCAGACTGACCGGCAACCTGACTGGCATGTGCCCTCTCCACAGTTTGCCCTCCAAGTTCACACTGCACTTCCTCCCGGCGGCCCCCAGGGTGTGCTCTGAGGGGCAGCGTGTGGCCGGCACAGACCCTCAAGGTCCCCCGTCCGAGCGGCAGCCCTTCCTGGCACCCATGGTCACCAACCAGAGAGTCACTGGCCCCTCGCACTTCCAGGACGTTCGGCTGATGGAGTTCGACATCACGGGCTCCGGGCTCAGGTGAGGGGCCCGAGACACCAGGTGGGCAGTCGAGGGCCGTGGCTGTGGGGCCGTGGCTGTGGGGCCGTGGCTGGGGGTCTGTGGTTGGGGGGTTCCGTGGCTGGGGGAGCCGAGGCTGGGGTCCGTGGCTGGGGGGGGCCGAGGCTGGGGGTCCATGGCTGGGGGGTCCGTGACTGGGGGTGCTGAGGCTGGGGGGCCGTGGCTGGCGGTGCAGAAGGTCTGCTCCCAAAGCCGGAGAGCAGGCACTCAGCAGGGTGGAGGGGTGCGGGCCAGGCGGCAGGGAGACACTTCCATCCGAGGACCCCTCACCCCAGCCCTCCCTGGACTCTTGCTTCTGTGCCCCCGGCATCCTCCCCTGTACCCCCGGTGCCCTGCCCACACCCGTCTCACTCTTCCCGGCGGCTTTCCCACACAGCTTTGCAGCTGGTGACGTGGTGCTGATCCAGCCCGAGAACGCGGCCAGCCACACCCAGCGGTTCTGCCAGGTGCTGGGCCTGGACCCGGACCAGAACTTCACCCTGCTGCCCCGGGAGCCAGGTGAGCACCAGGGGCCAGGGGAGGCCCGGCCGTGGCCACCCGTCCTGCCCACCCTGTGGGGTCTGCTGGCATGCTCAGCCCTCCCCCGGGTCCTGCCCCCCACTGCAGGTGTGCCCTGCCCTGCGCGGCTGCCCCAGCCCTGCTCCGTGAGGCACCTTGTGTCCCACTACCTGGACATCGCCAGCGTGCCCCGCCGTTCCTTTTTCGAGCTCCTGGCCTGTCTCTCTCCCCATGAGCTGGAGCGGGAGAAGCTGCTGCACTTCAGTTCCCCCCAAGGTCAGGAGGAGCTGTACTCCTACTGCAACCGGCCTCGCAGGACCATCCTGGAGGTGTGAGCAGGTGTGGGCAGGCGGGCAGGCCCGGGGCTCTGAGCCACAGCCAGGCGGGGCCGTGCTGAGGCTGTCTCTGCCCAGGTACTGTGCGACTTCCCGCACACGGCTGGAGCCATCCCCGCAGACTACCTGTTGGACCTCATCCCCCCGATCCGTCCGCGGGCCTTCTCCATCGCCTCCTCTCTGCTGGTGAGGGCCTGTGGGGCAGAGCCCAGGGCGGGGACGCTGGGCCATGCTGCATACAGGCATATAGGTTGGGAGGTCGCCCCGACCCTCCACATCTACCCCACGTCTGAGACCAGCCCTGGGTGAAGTGGGTGCAGCCTGAAGCCGGGGTGGCAGTCAGGGACAGCAGTGGATCAGGGCACCCACCATGCATCCCCCAGGTTCACCCCTCGAGGCTGCAGATTCTCGTGGCTGTGGTGCAGTACCAGACCCGCCTCAAGGAGCCCCGCCGGGGCCTCTGCTCCTCCTGGCTGGCATCGCTGGATCCTGGGCAAGGTGGCCCCTGCTTTCCGGAGGGTGGGCGTAGAGGACTGGGCCCGGGGCCTCTGTTCTCCCCTGGGCACCACGGCCAGCCCTGGGCTAGGGCCCTGGTCCTCGAAGCCTCTTCATGCCTCCTCTCTCCTGCCATAGGACCTGTCCAGGTGCCGCTGTGGGTGCGGCCTGGGGGCCTGACCTTCCCACAGACACCAGGCACACCTGTAATCATGGTGGGCCCTGGCACTGGCGTGGCCCCTTTCCGAGCAGCTGTCCAGGAGCGCGTGGCCCAGGGTCAGAGCGGTGAGCACACAGGATCTCGGGCAGGGCGGCAGCTGGGGCTGGACTGGGCCAAGCCTAGAGGCCACCTTGTGTTCCCCCAGGAAACGTTTTGTTCTTTGGCTGCCGCTTGCGCGACCAGGACTTCTACTGGGAGGCTGAGTGGATGGAGCTGGAGGGGAGGGGCTGCCTGACACTCTTCACGGCCTTCTCCCGGGAACAGGTGGGTGTGCTGGGAGGGAAGGGGAAGGGGCCAGGATGCAGACTCACCTCCCCAGCCCCTGCCACCTCCCTGTAGGAGCGGAAGGTGTATGTGCAGCATCGGCTACGAGAGCTCGGGCCGCTGGTATGGGAGCTGCTGGACCGCCAGGGTGCCTACTTCTACCTGGCAGGGTGAGTCTGGGCCGCTGGGTGGGGGTGGGAGCTGGCCCTCGGGGGTCCCAGCCACACTGAGCTCTCCTGGCCTGTCTCTCCAGCAACGCCAAGTGCATGCCAGCAGACGTGTCGGAAGCCCTGACATCGATCTTCCAGGAGCAGGGTGGGCTCTCGGGCCCTGATGCAGCTACCTACCTTGCAAGGCTCCAGCGGACGCTGCGTTTCCAGAGTGAGACGTGGGCCTAAGGAGCCGTCCTGCCGGCCTCGGCCACTCTAGCCACTGCCCTCTGGGGGGCCACCATCACCTCCTCCACTGTCCCCTGCATAGCCTCACTCCAGTCCACCTGGGGTCCCATACTCAGCCCTGACGCCACTGCCCACTCACCACCCCACCCTGCCCCCATCCAGGGTTCCTGCTGGCCTTTCCCCACTGGCCCCAACTTGGGTCCTGGTCAGGGTTGTCCCTGGGCTGCATCACCCTGCGTAGGGACGGTGCCTCAGGAAGGAGCAGGCAACCTGATGGACATCAGGGGCTCCCAGACAGCATAGGAACCTGGGGTGCAGGGAGCCCCAGTGAGCCTTCTGAGCTGGTGCAGGGTCCCTGGGAGTGCCAGATGCCACCCCCCCATTTGCCCTAGGGGCAGCAGGCTCCCAGTCACTCTCTGCCACAAAGCACCCGGTGCTGTCTCAGGGCCTCACGGGGCTCGGGCTCAGGCTGGAAGTCAGTGAGGACCAGAGCAGTGGGAGGAGGCCCACCAGCCAGTCAGACTTTCCCCACCCCACTCCTGGAAAGCCTCAGGAATAAATTGTGGGCTCTGGGTGGCTGCTTCTGATCTGCTCTTCCTTGTGACTGTCTTGGTGCCTCGGGGGGCTGGGTGGCCCACAGTGGGTCTGGATGGGGACAGCTCGTGGTGCCTCGGGGGGCTGGGTGGCCCACAGTGGGTCTGGATGGGGACAGCCGTCCATGGTGGGCACTGCACCATTGCTCAGCCATCTTTGCTGCAATACTTAGGGGTCTGATTCTACTGTGATGTGTGCCGGCTGTTTGCCCACTTTGTACAAGGTCTGCCCTGGCTCTGTCGAGCAGGGGGCAGCCTTAAGCGGGCCCTGGAAAGAAGGGCGCGAACTGACCATTCTTTTCCAGCCCGCGGAGTAGCAGTCCCCGGCAGGGGTGGGAAGGCGGGGGGCGGGGCAGCCATTGTCCCCGCCCCTGGGAGGGGCTTTCAGGGTTCCGAGGGGAATTCCTGTAGGAGGAGTCAGGCTGGCTGGCCTACCCACAAAGCTGCTACCTGGAGTCCGTCCCTCCGTCCGTCGGTTGCGAGCACAGCGGAGGGCTGTGGCCACATCTGGGCCCGGGCAGATCCGGTGGAGACGGCACCCGTGGGCCCAAGACCCGCCCGGAGCCGGCAGAAGCACTGGGGCCCAAGCGACCGTGACTTTCCAGGGTGGGGCAAGAAGCTGGGCTCTGGGACCAGGCTGCGGCTGCTTCGAGGTCAGTGCCAGACCCTGCCCGAGCCCAGAGGGCCACACTGACCTTCACAGCCACGACCACCCGGTCGCCACCCTGGGGACCCCGCCCACCCATCCGGACTCCTGCCCCAGGGCCCCCACTCATGGCCCCTGTGACCGCAGCTCTGGACGCACCGGTCTGCCTTCAGCCTCTCTGGGCCCGGAGTGCCTAGCCCCCCCGCTCCAAGTGCTGGCAGAGGAAGACTTGGACAGTAAGGTTCTTAGGAACGGCCAGGGTGCTGGGGCTCTAGACAGTGAGCCCCTGCTGGGGGCCACGGCCACAGCCTGCCCCTGGGCTGAGCAAGCAAGGGAGGATGGGGCTGGGGAGCAGGCAGGGGAGTGGGGGGAGGAGGAGTGCCCCATCTGCACAGAGCCCTACGGGCCTAGTGAGCACCGCCTGGTCCTGCTGAACTGTGGCCACGGCCTGTGCATGGGCTGCCTGCACCAGCTGCTGGGCACAGCCCCCAGCGCCGGCCTGGGCCAGGTGTGCTGCCCACTGTGCCGTCAGAAGACACCCATGCTTGAGTGGGAGATCTGCCGGCTGCAGGAGGAACTGCTGCAGGCAGATGGGCCGCAGGGCCCACGGCCCCCGACCCCCCCTGCTCCTCCCCGCCGGGGCCCTGGGCCCTGGGCCTCCCTAGAGCACCGCTACCAGCTACGCTTCCTGGCGGGGCCCGTGGGCAGCCAGGGCTGCCTGCCCTTCCTACCCTGCCCGCCCTGCCTGGGTGCCCGGCTCTGGGCCTTGCGGGAGCGAGGGCCCTGCACCCGCCGCCTAGCACTGCTGGGCCTGCTGGCCCTTGAGCTCCTGGGCCTGTTGCTCATCTTCGCACCACTCATGCTGCTGGGGCTGCTCTTCGTGCTGCTGGATCGCTCTGGTCACTGAGCAGGGCCTATCACACCTGCCACTGGCACCACCAGGGCCTCGGATAGTCCTGGCCACCGACGGACCGGGAGCCCCCGGCTGGCCCTGAGGCCTGACGACCAAACTGAAAAGCCCGAGATGGAGCCCGGCACTAGCCTTCAATCCAGACCCGGGTCTGGGGCCAGGCCTACCCAGGAGCCAGAGACTTCAAACCACCCTGCCGCCCGACGCTAACTGCTGGTGCCCGTGGGCAGTGCTGGAGGAGGCCTGTGGCCTGTCCTCACCCCCCTCTCCCTGACCCACCCAGCCTGTCTGCAAGAGGGACACAGCAGCTGCAAAAGTGAACCCAGAAGGCTGGTACTGAGCTGACTCCTTGGGGAGGGTGGGGCCCTGGGCAGGGGCTGCAGGGTCCCCACCATGTCATGTTCCACAGGAGGGCCAGTGTGTCTTCCCTGAAGGTCAGGGCAGCGGAGGGGAGGGGCCCTTGCTGTGCCAGCTCAGGCCACAGACAGCTTCCTCACTCACTGGGTCAGGACCCAAGGGGGTGGCCCGAGTGGCCAGGTGTCCAGCACATGTCCCCGAACGACTAGGCCTTGGGGCTGGACAGCACGGACCCGAGGCCCCTGAGTGCCCTGTAACCGCTCGTCATTGAGCCTGGGACCTTTATCTAAAGGACAGACACAATCAGCATGACCTCACGGGTTTGTGGGTGACGTGCTGAACAAGAAATGGCTCTCAATACACAGCAACTGCTACCGAGACCTCGCCACCATGTTCTCGTCGTCTCTACCGCCTCCTCAGCGCCCTGCGGCTCTCCCCAACCCTCCGCTCCCCCCTCCACCACAAAGCTTCCTTCCCAAGCCCAGGTAGTGGGGTACAAGATCGAAGGCCCCTGGTCCTCCTACCCCACCATGGTCTCAGGCAGCCTTTGTCTCGACCCTGGCTCAGACTGGCTCAGAGGCCATTCCCATACAACCTCAGAGGGTCTGGTGGGTACCAGGAGCCTGAGAGACTGAGGTGTCCCCCATGCAGCTGCCCCCACCTCCAGTGGCCAGTGCAGAGGACACGTCCGCCCTCTGCCCACACACAGGAGGCTGGCTGGCTCTGCACAGACGTGTGGGGCATTCGCATGCACACACACACACACAGCCAGGCCCAGCCCTCCTGAGTGCCGTGCCTGGCCCAGCCTGGCCCCAGCAAGCAGAGCAGGCTGACCCCAAGCGGCACCGGGCCTACCTCTGGTTGGACCCTGTCTGGGCCGCAGCCCTGGGCACAGGCCACGAGAGCAGGCTTCAGTCCAGGGCACAAGGTGCAAACTTTGGCAAAGAGTTTTAATGGCGGAGTTGGCTGCAGCGATAATGCCACATGGGTAGGGGCCAGAAGCTGTGGTGGGCGAGGGGTCAACGGGAGACAGGGCAGGGCCGGATCCCCGAAGAAGCGGCGAGCAAGGACTGGCGGGCAGTGGCGAGCGGGCGGGTGCTACATGATGGAGCAGGCGGAGAGCGGGTTCCGCACGTGGCAGGTGCACGCAGCCCCACAGTACTGTCGGAAGGTCTGGTAGCAGCTGCCCTCGGGCTCACCCCCCCACTGGCCACCGGACGGGGCGGTCAGCGCCTCAGGTGGCAGGCGGCTCAGAATGGACGTGTTGACGGCGAGTGCAGCCAGGCCGTAGTCCGTGAAGAGCACAGTCTCGCGGCGGCAGGTGGGACAGGAGATGAACTTGTACTTAGGGCAGGACTCATAGAGAATCTGCAGGCACTGCTCACACACCGAGTGCAGGCAGGACAGCACTCGGGGCCGCCGCTGAGTGACGTTGTACGTGTGCCCGCAGGTGGGGCACTCCAGGGGCTCACCCGAAGCTGGTGCCGCCGTGGCGGGGGGCCCCGAGGTGGCAGGGCCAGGCCGCACCACGTACTGATTCACGATGACCTCGTCTGCTGGCGCCACTCGGGGGAAGCCCAACTCCACACTGCCCTTTCGGGGCCGTCGTGGCAAGGGAGGGGTGCGGGGTGCCCCATCCAAGGCAGGCATGTCCCCCCCACATGCCTGGTTGACGATGATCTCTGTGTCTGAGGGCCAGGCGCGTTTGGGTGCCAGAGCAGGGGTGGGCCGTGGTGCAGGTGGGAAGCAAGGGGCAGCCGCCGGCAGCTCAGGGAACTTCTCAGGGTGAACAATCTTCATGGCCTCCATCTTGAGGATGACATGGGGGCCCTTCAGGCAGGACATGAGGAGGCCTGGCCAGCCACTGCCCACCTCGGGCCCAGGGTCAACCGGCATCCGGCTGTCTCCAGTTAGACTGGGTGTTCGGGTGGGTGGGGGCGTTGGGTGAGGCCGGGGAGGAGGGGAGGGAGCAGCATCCTGGTCCCGCCAGGCCTGGTGGGGACCCCGGCCGCCCCGAGGACTCCTGGGGGCGGCCGGCGAGAGCTGGGGGGGCAGGGCCCCCCCCAGTGGCTTCTCTGGTCCAGTCCTAGGAGGAGGAGGAGGAAGGGGTGGGGGAGGAGGAGGGAGGCGGGGGCAGGGGGGTATGGAAGGCTGCCCTGGGCTGCAGGTCTGGCCCAGGGGCTCACCCAGGGTCTCTGGCTGCTGAGGCTGGCGAGGGGGCGTGGGGGGAGCTCCCCCTGCAGCGGAGGTCAGCAGTCCCTGAGCAGGGACATCCGGGCAGGCAGGGGCTAGGTGGGCCCCATGGCTCCAGGACAGGGCGCCCAGGGAAGGCAGCTAGCCTGAGCCCTGGCTGCGGGAGGCCCCAGGCCGCGGGCTCGGCGGCGGCGGGAGCAGAAGAGAGGCCTGGACCAGGCCCGAGCTGCAGGTGAGAGACAGCGTGAGGGCAGCGCCCGGGCCCACCCTCACCCTGCACAAAAGACAGGGCGCCCGACCTCTGACCCTAACCCTCGCTGGACTCGGGACCCAGCCCCCGCCCCAGCGCCCGCCCCCACGGCCCAAGCCCTGCCCGGGTGGGAAGGGGCGGCGAGTCGCGACCCGCGTCCGTCCCGCCCCGCCCGAGCTCACCTGCCCCAGCCTGGCGTTCCCCGGCCGCGCGCCGCCGCCGCAGAGGTTGTCTCAAAGGCAGGCCCGGATGCGACGCGCGCGCCCAGGCCCGGCGGCTCCCGCGGCTCCGGCGGCGACCTCGGGCGATGGCGCGGCACGGCGGCTCCCAGGGGCGCGGGGCGCGGGGCGCGGGGCTCCGGGCAGCGCGGCGCGGCGGCAGGTGCGTGCGGAGCGTGGCGCGCTCTGCGGCGGAGGCGCGGGGACCGCAGTGCGCGCGGCGCCCGCCCGCGCCCGCAGCGCCACCCCCCGTCTGGGGACCCGCGCGGGGTCCGCGGGGCGGGGCCAGTCTTTCAGCCGCCCCTCCATCGCCGCGGGCCTGGCGCCCGCTCCCGGGGTTGCCCGCCCCAGCGAGCCGCGTGTGGACCAGGACCCCCGCGCTGCCCCTTTCCAGTACCCTCCCACCCCGAGTCCTGCCTGGCCGACCCTGGGTCCTAGTCAAGGATCCCCACCTCCAATTCTAGAAGCGAAATCCTGTTCTTCGAAGCCTGGGGCCTCACAATACCAGAGGGAGGAAGGCAAGAGGAGTGGAGAGGTGGTCTCGGGAAAGCTGGCTACCAGGACCCCACCGGGAGACCGCCAGGTGTCCCCCCAGAGAGTCAGGGTCTCTGCCTGTCCTTCCACTCTGTCCCCAGTGCGCATGCCTCCCGCTCACAAGTGCACCCAGGTTGTGCTCAAGGCGGACGGGCTCAACGAGGACGAGGTGACCATGAGGGTGAGCAAGATACTCGAGGAGTGGATGGAGAGGGGGGACAGTAGCTGGGAGAAGGCTCCAAGGGCAGGAATGCTGGACAGATGGGTGGGGTGAGGGGTGTGCAGGTCAGACAGACACCTGGACAGGCCAGCGGGGCAGCCCACTGAGGACACGCACCCAGGGTGGGGTGGCCCTTCAAGGCATCTCACCAGGTCAGCACGTGCCCTGCTGTCACATATTTGTGTGCTAACCTGACCCCACCCAGCATAGAGGCCCCATTCCTTTCTGCTTCCTCCTCAAGCCAGGCTTCCTTGATTCCCTGGGATATACCCTCTGCCTGTGGGGAGCCCTCAGCTGAGAGAAAAGGCAGAGAACATGTTGACAACCACTGGGCAGGGGACCACAGCTGCGGGGTGGGGGGCCTCCGCAGTGCCACCCCCTGACCTCCTCCCACTACTACATGGCATGCTAGCATTCCTGTGACCAGCACCGGGCCCTGTGTCTGACCCCGGACAGTCTCAGCCTCTCTGGCCACCGCCCCTCTCCTCTGTACGGGCCTGACTACACCTGGCTATAGGCCTTCCCCCGGGGGTCCTTCAGGGCAGCAGAGCCCAGAGAGGTCCCTATTCCTGGTGAGGAAGCCCACGCGGGCAAAACAGACTGGAGGAGCGAACCTGGGCCACAGGGGTACTTTGCAGCTCTGGGTGACCTCAGGATCAGTTTCCAAAGCCATTTAGCGAGAGCGGGTGTGGGATGTGTGCAGGTGAGCAGGTGCCCGGCAGGATGGGCAGCGAGGCCCTAATGGGCCCCGGCGTGAAGGTGGGGCAACTGAGAGAGCCCCGGCCAGGGGGGGCTAGGAACCCAGCCTCGGCCTCCAGTTCTGCTCAACTTCCCAGCGACTCGCTGGGCGCGCACCCAAGGAGGCATCGGCCACCAGGCCCCACCCCTGGACATGAGGCCCCGCCCCTGGACATGAGGTCCCGCCCCGTGCAGGCCCACCTCCCCGAGCCCGCCCAAGTCCACGCCCCCGGAGCCGGAGCCCTGCGGGTCAGAGCGGAGCCGCCCAGGCTGAGTTCTGGACCGTCCAAGGCCAGCGGACCCCGAACCGGGTCTTTAGAGAAACCTTTGAGCGCGGAGGCTTCTGGGGAATAAAGTTCTCGCCGGCCGCCCCAGGCCTGTTGCGCGCATGCGCCAACCTCCGCCTCGCAGCAAGGGGCGGAGCCTGTAGGGGCAGTGGGCGGGGCTTTTGGAGCCTGCGCAATGAGCATCTGTCATACACCTGCGAGGTCCCGGGCCCCGGGAGGACTTCCCTCCTCACCCGGTGCCACATTGGTAGAACTCGTGCCCGGACCGGTCTGACTGGCCTCATGCAGGCCACCTTGGTCACCCCGGCCTCTGAGCCACGTCTGATTTGGTCCCGCCCTTCCTTGGGGGTTCACTTGGGCACCAAGGACTGGGGGTGCGTGTCCCGGCCCCACCCTACTGCCCAGATGCTTCTGGGGGAAGATCACCAGTGCCAGGCCCAGACCCGAGTGCTCACATCCATTGTCACCACAAAACACGGCGACCCTATGTGGCAGGTGCCACCTGCCCCCTCACAGATGAAGGTGGGAGGAGGTGTAAGTTCCAATGGTGGAGACACTGGTGAGGTGGGGAGCTTGCGGTCTGCGAGCCCACCAGGGAGAGGGAAACTGCAGTTTCAGAAATGAGCCAGAAGGGACACCTGGGTGGCTCAGTCGGTGAAGCGTCTGCCTTCGGCTCAGGTCCTGGTCTCAGTGTCCTGGGATCGAGCCCCGTGTCGGGCTCCCCGCTCAGCCGGGAATCTGCTTCTCCCTCTCCCACTCCCCCTGCTCGTCCTCTCTCTCTCTCTCAAATAAATAAATAAATAAAATACTAAAAAGAAATGAGCCAGAAGTGTCATTTGTCAATGAAGCTCCTGTGCATCGCCCATTTTAAGAATAGTTATAGCAAAGGTGTGTAAATCAAACCTTCTTTATTGGTTAAAAAATGCAAACCTCCAAGCAGCCTGTGCTCTCAAGCACCTTAGTCTCTGTGTGCCAGGTAGAGGCTTTGCTTGAAGTGAGGACCTCTGTCCTCTGCCTCAAGCAGGGGCTTCGAGGTGCGTGAGTGATGGCCTGGGATCTGAGGCTGACAGCAGGCTTGCCTCCTGCCCTCCTTCCTGGCAAGCTGCAGGTCTTTGGAGGGCCGAGGACGTGCCCCAGATGCGTGGAGGCTGAGTCACCCGGGCTGTCAGTGCCCCTTCGAGCCCCGGCAGGGGCCACCACCCACCAGAGCAGGAAGGGTGGGTGACTTCTGTGCTGGACGAGCTGGCCTCCTGGGATCCTGGGAACCCCATCTTTGAGCTCCACCCCACGGCCCCACCCCTCCCCAGGAGGGAAAAGGCAGCTAGCTGCCAGTTACTTACCTCAGAGGCACTGGGACCTGGCCCACAGGACGAGAAGGTCAATGGCTGCCATCACGACTTCAGGTGGGTGCTGGGCTGAGGGGCTTCCCTGCACCGGGGCTCAACCGTGGGCACAGCCCAGCTGCCTCCCCAGCCTCCCGGCCCATTTGCAGCTCCATCGCAGGGCATCGCTGTACGGGGAGGGCGGCTGGGACACACTGGCCCTCACGCCCAGCTCGCCCCTGCACGGGCGTGCTGACACACAGGCCGGCTGCCCCGCGGCGGGTGGGGGGCAGCTTTCTTGGGCTGTAGCTTCCCTCCTCCCCCGAGCCAATACTGTCTCCTCTGTCTGCCCCTGCCAGGCCAGGCCACGGACCCGCAGGAGGCGGTCGTCAAGAACCCCTATGCCCGAGTCAGCATCCCCCGGGCTCACCTGCGGCCCGACCTGGAGCAGCAGCTGGAGGTGGCGCCCTCTTCCCGGGGCTCGCAGCCTCTGCCTGCGGGGCCCTGCCCCTCGGAGCCCCCCCGGGTCCTGCAGCCCACCGAGGAGGCCCCAGAGGGCAAAGGCGCCAAGGGGACCAAGGGGGCCGCCCAGACCCAGGGCCGGCAGGCCTGGCTGCAGCCTGGCCACGCCCCCGGGAGTGGGCAGGGCCCGGCAGCGCCGACCCACGCCGGCCGGCCGCCCGTCGGGCGCGGGGACGACATCGCCCACCACTGCTGCTGCTGCCCTTGCTGTTCCTGCTGCCACTGCCCTCGCTTCTGCCGCTGCCACAGCTGCTGCTCCATCTCCTAGCCCAGCCCCCGCCAGGCCACGCGCTGCGGCCACAGGGCCCACCGCGGCCCGGGCACCACAGCGCTGCCCTCCTCCTCGGGGCAGCCACCGGCCCGTTGGCACCCTGCTCGGGAGCACCTACCTGCCGAGAAGGCCGACCGCCCGGCTCCAGCCCCTGGCAAGCGGCCGGCCCCGGCTGGGATGGCCCGGGGGACAGCCGCCACCACCTCCCCCGAGGCCCACGGCCCAGGCAATAAAGTGGAGCGAGCTCTGCTCCGGCTGCTGTCCTTCACTGCTGCGCCCTGGAAGGGGCTCCCGGGCTGCACAATACCGCGGGCCTCGGCCTCTGTGGGACACTCAGGGGTGGGGAAGCCACCCCATGTTGCTGGTCTCGGGTCTGTCCGAGGCTGGACCGGAGGGGTGGGAGAGTGTCCCCTGCCCTGGCCCACCAGCCAGGCCTGGGTTCCAGCTGCCTTGCATTCCCTAGGGCTGAGGCCAAGGCTGGCAGACAGGTCAGGCAGTGGGTCAGTCGGTAGGAGGATGTTATGCATGGAGCCGGGGTGGGGTGGGGGGAGCCCGAGAGAGGCCTCCAGGAGGAGGATCACCCTGGCAGGACCGCAGCAGGTGGGACTGACTCTGGCAAATTTCTGGGAGTAGGAACCCAGGCAGCCAGCACCAGGCCCTGCCCATGCGTGAGTCACTGCCCTACCTCAGCCGGGGTGTTTTTCTGGTTCCTCATGAAACGTCCGATTCCTCAACATCTGCTGTGTGGCACCCAAGCCATGCTGCTCATCTGCCGTCCTGCCTCCAGGGCCTGGCCCTCCTGCATGAGGGGAGCAGGAAAGGAGCTGGCCGGTGCGGCCCCTCAGAACACAGATCTCCCACCTGTCTGGGCAGCGTAACATGCCTGCTCGGGGGCACGTGTGGGGAGCTAAGCTGCTGGACGCTGGCATCGCCTCACCGCTGGGGGGCTGCTGGGCTGCCAGGGCAAGGACCGAGGGGTAAGGCCTGCGCTGGGCACTCTGACGGTTCCAGGGCCAGGCAGAGACAGCCGGAGGAGGAGGCGGAGCTGGCCTCTCAGGATGGACAGGTCCTGGTGCCAGCCCTCCTCTGACCCAGGGTGACCGTCCACAAGGCAAGACCTACCTCTGGGTGTGGGTAGCTATGTCATTGGTCTGACTGTGCAGGCCCTCAGGTGGGCCAGGTTTCCGGCCCCTGCCCCATGGCCTGCCTCCACCAGAGGATGACCCCACCCAGGCCAGCCGCAGAAACCCGATGGACCAGTCAGGGAGGCTGCGGACTGCGGGGTGGTGGGACTGAGGAGGAGCCCCTCTGGTTCTTGGCTTCCTCCCAGCTGGGCAGTGAGGGTCCTGATCCCACCCTGACCATTCTTGACACACCCCGTTCTGCTGTGCCCGCAGTCACGGCCGCCGTGCCGGCCCAGGGGCCATAACCAGGCAGGTGCTGGGGGGGGTGCCCCTAATGTGGACGACCAGGGCTAGCCACAGTGTGTGGGTGGGGGGAGGTGGCCCTCGTGCGGGCGACCAGGGCTAGCCACGGTGTGTGAGTGGGGATCTCCATACCTGCGCTTGAGCACCTCCTTGGCACCTTGCGGAGCTGGCCGCTGCCGGTAATGAGGGCACGACAGACCCAGACGAGGCAGGAGGAAGGTGCTGGGACAAATCAACATGGACACATACACTGCGACTGAGCTTCGGAAGAGCGGGACCCCCAGGGCTCTGAGCCGGTGAGCATCCTGGCGGGTTACCTGGAAGGGGTGATGCCTGAGCTGAGAGTTGAAGAAGCATCCCCCAGGTCAAGGCCAGAAGGATTTCCTAGCGGGAAGTTGGGGGAGCAGGAGAGTAGAGGTGGTGTGGAGGTGGGTCTGGCTGGCCCAGGCGGGGAGAGGGGCCATGGTGAGCTGTGAAGCCAGGCCTGGGTGGGGGACTAGTGGAGCTGGGTCCCGGCATGGGGGTGGGGGGTGGGGGGCTTATCTCCTGACGGGTGGGTGGTGCTGGTGGATCCAGTTGCAAGCGCTCTGTGGCTGAAAGGGGAGCCCACGCCTGCCTCCGGCCACCACCTGCCTGCCTGCTGACTCGTCTGTGCTCGGCCAGTAATGCGAGCCCCAGGGAGGGAGCCGCAGGGCACCCTGGGCCCCCCCAACCCCCGGACCTCCTCTGGCTGGGCATAGCTGCCCAGCAGAGCCGATGCAGGTAAGAGAGGCCTGGGGCTTAGGCAGATGGGGAGTGGGGGGCCTGGAGCTGAGCAGGAGGGTCATGGAGAGGGACCAAACAGTGGGTTGGGCTGCTGCCCAGCTGGCCACTGCCCACCCTCCCCGGCACCACCCACCTTCTGCAGAGGCCCAGGCTCCTGTCCTCTGGGGCAGACTCCTGGGGTCAGGGCCCAACCATGCAAGACAGTCTCAGAGGCAGGCAGGGTGGGCGGCAGCTACCCGTACGCCTCCCCCAGGATGCTGCAGCCAGAGAGTGCCTGGGTCTCCGAGGAGGGGACACCACTGGGTCCCGGCAGGGCGACTGCATCATCTGCTACTGAGCCTACGGCCTCACGGGGCACCGGCCACGCCGCCTCTACCGCGGCCACACCTTCTACCGGGCGTGCGTGCGGCGGCTGGACACGCCGGCCCACGGGCAGCGCTGGGTCCCTGCCCACGGTGCCGCCAGAGCACACCCACACCCCGCGGAGGGGTGCATGCTGGACCTCGACCTGGCCACCCTCCTGGCCGTGAAGGCCGAGGGGGAGCTGTCCCGTGTGGAGCCCCCTGTGCCCCCCGAGGCAGCACTGCCGTCGCTCAGCAGCCGGCCGGGCTCTGTCCCACCTCGGGCACCCAGCCCCAACTCCCCCAGTCCAGGTGCTGCAGGGGCCTCTGCTGGGACGCCCCCGGCAGCCCCGAGGTCTGAGTGCTGCTTGCTGCCTCTCGCGGCAGGGGAGAGGCTGCCCACAGCGTGTCCCTACCTAGGAACCTCCAACTGCAGCACAGCCAGCCCAGAACAGCCCGGGGGCGGAGCACCCTGCGGGCTGCCCTACACGGACTCCCCCAGACCACAGCCTAAGTTTGGGGGCTGTGCCCCTGGTGCTCTGAGACTCTGCGAGAAGCGGGTGACCTCCTGCTCATCTTGGCCGGGATTCCTGGGCCTCAAGCTAGCCTGACTGTGTGCAGGGGGAGGGTGCAACTGTCAGAGTCACCTGCAAGCCCCGCCCAGGCCCGGACTCAGCTCAGACGCCTCCACGGGTCTCTGGCTGCAGGCCAGAGGGTCGGGGCCTGGCCAAGTCTGTACCTGCTCATGCTGGAACCCATCTCCCCTTCCCCATGAAAAGTCCCAGAGGTGGGAGCCAGAGCAGAGACAGAGCCACCCCCTTCATCCTTGGCTTGCAAAGCATCCCTGTGAAGTTCATTCATTCAGCAAAGCCCACTGAGCCTCAGCTATGCGTTGGGCACCGTCCCGGGAGGGTCTCCTGCAGGCACAAAGTCCCTGCTATGACAGGTGTCCAAGGAGAGGGCCTGGGCGGGGCCAGCTCTAGGCCCAGAGAGGGTGGGGGCCTGCCTGAGGCAGCACAGCTCAGCGGAGCCGCTCCCCCACGAGGCCTTTTCCAGGTCCTCAGCTTCCTCCTGCCTCACAGTGGCCAGCGCACAGACCCTTCCGAGGGGCCAGTGCAGGTGCTGGAGGCTACGGACACAGACCCTCCCCCAGGTCAGGCTGCGACATCCCCGTCCCCATCCAGAAAGGAACCGTCACACGGTCTCTCAGGAGCCTCTGGGAGGGACCCCTGGGCCTGCCCTGGGCAGTGGGTGCCGGACAGGGAGGGACAAGAAAATTTGCTGAGAGGACACTCAGAAACCTCCTCCTTCTCTGGGGCAAAGTCCCCCAGGAACACAGCGATTGGTGGGCAGCAACTAGACCAGGGTGCTGTGGCCAGCAGGCCCCCTGGGGAGACCAGGCCCAAGGGGGAGGGGGAGGAGCATTTCCCAGCAGGGGTGGCAGGAAGGGGGCTGACCCCGAGAGGCACCCACGAGCCACGGGGTCAGTCAGGATCATTCTCCTGTGGAAGTGAACAGGATGGACTGCGTCTGCGGGTCCAGGCGGGGTGGGCAGTGGGCTGGGCAGCAGGGTGGCCTGGTGATGGGCCCTGCCCCCCCAACTTGCAGGTGGAGGTGCAAGACCCTCCACCATTACTGCCCACCGCTGGGGTTGAGCCCGCTGGGAGCTCTGCTGGGCCCAGCCCTGCCCTGAACCCAGATCTGAACTGGATGACTTCAGGGACTGGGGCCCTCCCCACCCACCTAGTGCAAAGGGCTTCCCTCCCGCCGATGGGGTAGGGACGACCATAGTAAGGTCTGCAGAGCTTGGGGAGACTCTCCAAGGGGCCTCCAGGCCGACCAGCCAGAGCACCAGCATCCTGCCTTGCCCTGGGCAGGCAGCGTGCAGTGTCTGGTCACGTCCAATAGGCGTCTACTCATGGAAGTCCTGCAGGAAGGAGCCCGTCCACAGCCCTGCAACAGCCCCGGCCTGGCTCAGGGCCCAACCAGGGAGAAGCCCCACTCTAAGAGGGCTGAGCTGGGGGCCTGGAGCTCCTGCCCCAGGGGGATAGTGGGACGCGGACAAGGCGGGCACCTGGGGTTATGACAGGTACCCCTCGGGGGCCTCAACTCCTGGGTAAACATTAATGGGGCTCAGTACACAGCAGGTCATGTGTGCACCCAGCAGATCTTTGACCGGCAGTTGCTCCTGCCCTGTGTCTCCTCCCCGCAGGTGCCCCCTCACTACCCTCACAGGTAGGAGCTTCTAGAACCAGGTGGGGGCCCCGGGACGCCAGGACAAGGGCTGGGTGACCGCCTGGCCCAGGGCTTAGGCCCCACCCTGAGCCTCCCCGAGCTGAGGATGAAAGACAGGAGGGAGGGGTGACAGAAAGCTGCCCAGGACCTGGACCCTAGGGACTGGGAGGGAGCTGGGGGAGAAGACTAGACAGGGGATCCAGACCCAGAGGGTTGCAGAGAGGAGCCTTGAGGTGGGGTGGGGAGACCCAAGCCCCTTGCCCTGCCCCCATCCCTGGGGGTGCGGCCCTTATCAAGCGGAGACGTCACCGTTTGGTATCAAATGCCAAAGTCTAAGCTGGGACCTGCAGTGTCCCTGATGACACCTGATAAGAAGGTCACTGGATTCCCTGCTCCTAGGCACTTCCGGCACCCAGCACCCTGTGCCCTGGGCCACCCACCAAGTCTTCTTCCAGCCAGGACCAGCGAGGGAGCCAGGGACCCAGGGCCCCCTCGACTCTGCCCCTGAAACTGGACTGGGCTCGCCTG